TGGTTGGAAGGAGGGATGACATTTTTTTACATACACAGATTAATACCATGAGCTTACATTCCCATAACTCTGTCATTTGTAATTATAGGCTTAGCCAGCAAGTTGTCCCGACGTCTTTTGGACGGCCACCAATTATTTAGGACGGCCACTTTTACCGTGACGGCTTAGCTTTAACAGCTCTAACTAGTTCTTCAAATCTATCGAATGTTACATTAAACCACAGCTAAATCATATTTACGTTTGATAAACACAACCTTCGTTGATTGAATGTATGTTGTTTTCATTTTTATTTTTCATTCCCAAAAATGTAAAGGCTAAACCATTGCCTACCTGGTAAAAAGTTCACTTACAACACACGTCGTGTTAAAAACATTTATACCTCGCTGGAAAATAGACGGTTCTGAGTTGCCCACAACACATGCACGTGGCTCTGCAAATACCATACTTGGGATTTGGATACCTAATTCAAATGCCCTCTAAGATCATAATTTTCTATTTTTTCCCCTTATGTTTGGGAGGGAGGGGGGGGGCTGGCCTTGAGTGGGCGTGGCTCGTCCATCAGCTCAGGCCATGCCCACTGGCTTCTATTTTGGATGGCCTATTTCGTTTTTCTGGCTAAAGCCCTGTTTGTAATACAGCCTGTTTTACATTGAACAAAAATATCATTATTGTAATGTATGACCCAAAATAATGGACCACAGGAGCCAGTACAGTGTCTAAGTCTGCAACAGAAAGTGACGCATTAATTTAATGGCAGGCAATTGACCGTCTACTGGCCATGCACCACGATTATTAGTTAAGTCTGTTTTCCACTAGCGCGAATCAAAAACTTTGGTTCATACGCCTTCACATTTCTATTGGAGTTTTTCGCTTCAGCAGTAGTTCGAAGGTCCTGTTTCTACTTTTTGTGAAGCAAAAAATGCACAACCAATCAGAGCTCAGGAAGAAAACGGATGCTTTCGCGTGAATAAATTCGCCTAGTTGAATAAAGGCTTTAAGTAGGTGATTATCAGTTTCTTACAAGTTGTGTTTTTATAAACTTAATACTAGATGATGTATACTGTACATCTTAGCACATGTAGAATTAATATTAGAAAGAAAGAAATGGAGATAGGAAAGAAATAAGGAAATAAGTATTACAAAAGGACAGGCCTAGAAATTTACTTTTTTAGGCACTAGTAGCCTATTGCTAAAATTTGCTGATTGTGAAAAATGTAACTAGCAAAATGAGTTGCTCAACTAGTAAACATATTATTTTTGGAAAATAGCCAAATGAGTATAAGCAATCGATTTCTATACCTTGTACATTTATTCACTGCAGAACATTTTTAATATAAAAAAAAAATCAGATACAAAATGAAAATTGAATAATACTGTACATTATATATTTAATTTATTTTTTAAATAACTTCAGTATGAATATTCAATTTTTATTTTGTACCCGTGATAAGTTTTCCGTTTAAAATTTGTTATAGTTTTTGTAACTTTTCTTTCATATTTTATTTTACTTAATTTGTTGTACTTACTTGGCTAATCACAAGATATTTTGTATAGATATTTCAACTAGCAATCATTTTTTTTTTTATTTGCTCGTTTGTGAATATTTACCTAGCAGTTTGCTAGTGCGAATTTCGAGCCCTGAAGGAAGAGAAAAGGAAAAAAGAAAAGAGAGAAGGAAAAGAAGGAAAGAAAACAACCTACATTAATATCCTTAAGTGACCTCACTTAAGTGTTGTTGATCCAGAGCTAACGGTTAAAGCCAATAAACCACTCAAAAAACAAGTACTGAAGTAGTTGACAGTGGATATCTAACCTAGTAAACATACAACATAAGTGCACCATGATCAGCTCCTTACACCTCATTCTGTCCACCAGATCAAAAATTTATTGTAAAATAGTAAATCTTTATTGTCAACAAGATCTTCTAACTAGATCAAGCCCCTGTAGATTCTAGAAGGCAATGATGTGAAAATAATGTGCAACTTATGCTGTATACTTTAAAGCTCATAAGCTATAGGAATATTTATATTCAATGAGTGACTGACTGCCTGACAGGGTTACAGCATTTCTACCTGTAGCTCTAACCCCTTGTTTGACAATGATCTTGAAAGCTTAATAAATAATACAGCTCTCAGCAGTCCATACTTAATGGATGGTAAAAATAACAAAAAAAAATGTGGGATAATAACAACTTATTAGTTTTTGATATTATTATCACATTAGAATCAGATTTTTATTTTAAATGACTACGGGACATTAACATAAACATTTTAAATTGTTCTTATATCTTTATCATATCTGAGAGCAAGTAGCTCACCAATTAAAACATGGAACTATGTTTTATAAAATAAATCCCTTTAAAATGAGGCTTATGAGTGGAGTTGTTTTTAGTCATGAGAAAAAGTTCTGGTGTCACAGGAAATGAACCCAGGACTTATGATTATAAGGCAAGCATCATTATTGATAATTATCAACCATACTGAACATACTGAACTGAATATACAGGCTCAAATTAGCCAAGCTGTTTTATATGCGAGAGGATGTAAAGTTGCGGATACCTATTGATAGCTTCAACCTTTAGCTTCCTTTAATAATGTTATACTAGCACTTTCTGTCTCAGTTGCCAAGCCTGTCATGAAATCACATTATACTTGTATGACAGTTATGATTCTCGACACATGTGATAGCAATTGGTATCAAGACTTTGAACATGTTAGGACACTTGAGAACATGGGTGGTTCCACTTGCATTTAAACAACATGAGTGACGAGTGACATGACAGGCCATCGGATGTCAAAATACTGAACATTTTATATGCACCTATGGCTCACCATGGCAATCACACACATGAAAGTTCATGGATACATGCGTTTAAGCAACTACGTGAGTGATGAGCGATATCCCTTTATTATGACAATCCTTGGATGTCAAAATACTGAGGATTTTCTGCATGGTTCACCATACATGGAAGTGATAACACTTAAGAAAATGTGTGGTTTCAGTTTCATGATGATTTACGGTAGAGGGCACTGCACAACCTCAATTTCAATCCTAAACAGCCTGTCAGTTGGGTGTACATTAGAAATAATAAAAACCTTAAATGACTACAGACTACAAATTCAAATATTAGAATGCAAAAATTTAATATAATTTAAACATGATTACTATGGAAGCCAATGAACAGAGCCAAAAAATAATCGCGCATTAAAGTTTAAGAAAGCATCAGGTATTTGAATAATAATTAAGATTAATTAAGCATAAACAATAAAAAACAATAAAAAAACAATTGTCCAGCACACTGCATACTGTAAAATGGCAAGGGTATAGACGAGTGCAAAAGTTTTAATTTTTATTACCGTACATCCTCTGATAAAAGCTCACCTCCCCCACCACAACCGAACACAATTAGGCCGATCTTGTCGGTGGGCTTTTACCCGGGGGAAAACCCCTTTTCAATCAGGAGGCAATTTTTCAGCACTCAAATCATAAACCTGGGCTTCTACCTGAGAAAAGGCACGTACATAAAATTGGGCATGGGCTTATATCCGAAAAACTGTTATATACTTCAGTGAGGTACAGTTTAATTTCTGAAACAGTTTAATGAATGAAACTTGATGACCCAAGAGTGTTGTTTCTACCCCCATCAACCACATCCCATTTTGAGGTCACAGGTGCAATCATTGGCCTTGGAGGGGCTTACCACCAACTACAACCACCAGTCTGTTTACAATCAAAACTCCTTAAATCTCCCTTAGGCCAATACAAAACCTGACATGAGAATATTTTCCAATAATGTCACGAAATGGAACACTGTGCCTTGTGTGGTTTAGGGGGAATTATAGCTTAATTTCTCCAAGGACATATTTAATGGGACATAATCAATGAAATCCAATATAATAAAGCTATAACACATTGACAGTTGGGTTTGTATTTTGTATGATTTAGCTCTTAAAAATTCATTACCTTCTGAAAGTGTCATAATAGTATGAATTGGGATATTAAATCAAGATTTTTCTTTAAAAGTTTTGATTTGTTTACTTGTTATGTAACATTTGAATGAATACAATAAATATTTAAATAATATAAAATAAAGTAAATGTTGAATTTAATTTTATTAATACAATTGCCTGGAGTAATAGCAAAAGACCAGATATCAAACTTCCAGCTATATTATCATCATCATGACCTTTCAGAACCTGTCTCTGAACTTAAAAAAAGAACACAAGTCAAGAAAACTAGAATGTCTCTACTTTGATTTGATCGGTTGATCTTTTTTAAAGTATCTCCAACACATGGATCCTGATGTGAATCGTATAGGGGATTACAAACCACGACAGAAAGGAACGGAGGAGACTAGGAGTTTATCTATAGGAAGTAATATGGAATCAATTAGTTATCCACAATACCAGAAATTATGTCCAGGAATCTCCTGAAAAGCAAGTGTAAAAAAAAACATTTCACAAGAGACCTAGTAAAGTTCAAACATGAACCTGGCAAAGGTTAAGAGTTCATGTCTGACTTTTTTACTAATGAACTTTCTGTCTTTTGCAAGAGCTCCTCTTTACATAGTCTAATGAAAAATTACCGATGTTTATCATACACAAACAAGAAAAAGAATGAAAGAGGAGCTGGTGTTTCCTTCACAAAAAGACGATCCTCTTCTTTGTTTCTAATATCAAGTACATTGTTCTTGTTCAGGATTTTTCTTTTATTCCTGAGCAGTCCTCAAGGACACAACATAATAAAGAAATAAAACTATATAAGGCAGAGATTGAAACAATTCTATATTTTTTTGATTTACAGACTTTCAAAGGGTCTAATTACATGACCAGAAATACATATTCCATCTGCCAATAATAATAATAATAATATTAATACTACTACTACTAATAATATTAATAATAATAATTAGAAAAAAATAACAACAACAACAACCACAACAACAATAAAACAATAACAAAACAATTCTTGGAAACAAAATTCCAAGAATCTGAGCTTACCGTTCTTGTCGTTCCGGTATATGTGAAGCGCAATGTTATTATTGTTGAATAAAACCGGCTGGATACCGAGTAGTTTGCGAATTAGTTGTGGTACAAGCTTCACATCAATGACACCCTTTTTCTCCTGGTCAGCTTCCAGAAACGATGCCTTTAGAACTGCAAAGAAAATACAATATGATTAGTCAGGTCTAGTAAATGTATATTAATACCAGCATAATCGTTATGATTTCACCTCCCTTGGTAAATTGCCGTGGTTTGGCATTACCAACATGATTCATACAGAAACCTTAACTAACATACACATCTAACTTAATTGTTTTTTGGATTGGATTGGATTTATTCGGTGTGAACATCTAGAAGAAGACTTATTTCCAGTGGGGTCCTTCTAGTGGTGATTGGGCAGTACACGGGAGACAATCCCCTACTCTTTTCCGAAGAGTGTACTGAGTTCGTTAACGTGCACGTGGGCCATCAATGCACACAGGACCAATGGCGTCTCATCTGAAAAACGGTGCGCTATTATAACTTGTATTTCAGCCCTCCAGCTCTAATACAAGGAGAGGCAACGATGGGAATTGAACCGGGGACCTAGAGATCTCCACGGTTCATTGCACACACAGTGGCTACCACCAGATTAGCCGACTGAGCTAAGCTGCTCTCTCTCTTTCCTATGTTCAAGATAATTTTCAGACTATATTTGTAGATTATGATCACTCTGAGAATAAATGTTGTGTTATAAAAACCTATTGAAATCATATTAGCATTTGGCCTCCTGTCAGACAGGCCTGGATCTCCCTGTCGTCCGATATCACGACGAGGTCGTCAGATCAAAAATAAAAATAAACAATATATAATTTGCCTAACCAAATATCATTATTTTGATTGCCAATCCCTAACATAGTGATCTAAAAGCACAATTTCGGACCATTATAAGTCATAAAAACTCTCACTGTGAACCCTAGCAGGGATTTTTCATTCTGGCCCTCGGACCAAGGCTCTGGATAGGACCACCGTCAGACATCTCGGAGAGGAGCCACCGCTGTTCATTCTATTGGTAAATAGGATCATTTGAAAAAGTTAACCAACACAATTGGGTCTTTATGCATGTTCTATATCAATGACACAGTGGATGAGGTCAGCTCAAATCTACGTTTTTGCTAATTCATTCATTCATTCATCTTTTATTTCGGAGAAATACTGCAGATAAACGTTCAATCGCTATACAGAAAACGGGAGTCAACAAGACATCAAATTTAAGTTCCAATATTTACATGTAGAGAAATAAATAAAGTGCATTATCCCAATACTACAGCTTGCTGATACAACGAACTTTATTTTGCCTATATTTATAAATTAAATCTAAATAAATCTAACAAATTTAAATTTGATTCTCTACAAATATCCTCTGCAACATGTTTCTCAAAAGTGTCTTGTTTGAAGAATAAGTGAAGCTATGCATTCTAATGATGACATCCATCTCCGAATAAACGTCTACTAAAAAAGAGTCAGCTTTGAGTTCCGTCTTCATTTCAGGTTCATTCCAGTCGATTTTTAAGGAGTGATAATGCACTTTATTAAACAATGGAAGGCGTAATTTTCACTTGATCTAACCATGTAACTTTAGCGTTTACTGGAGTGTCGTTTTTAAAATCAATAGATAATCTCTGGCAGCAGTACGCTATTGGACGAACGGTTCATTCACAAGGTGTTGTGCTAGGCCTACATTAATTGTTATTTCCTAGACAGCAATGCGATTATTACGTTATTTCGTCTGGAAATCATTGTTTATTAACTGTTTGTTCAGTTTGTAGAAGTTCGTACATTGTACACAAAAAACTATAATGACCAACGATATCGGTATAAAGATGTCGTTCAGCCTAGGCCTAGCATCTTTTATGTTGGTAAATAATTGCCGTGGTAAAAAAAAATTGCGTCTGCATTTCAAGGGCTGTGGAGGCAAGTCATTTTGAAATGTAAGGTGAGCTATTTGTCATACACCTCGATAGCAGTCTAGGTGCACGATGGTGTGCGCGAGCGCGATCCCACACCTTAAATGACAAGGTCTGCAAGCCCTTGTGTGCTCAAAGCTAGAAATTCATATACAGCATGGAACCCGCAGGCCAGTGGGCAAGTGAACTCCATAGAAGCTGTACAGCGTTTTTTCCACAACTTCAATAGAACAGCTAATGCAACTGGGATGTTACAGGACCTTCAGTGGGATTCTCTTGCTACACAAAGACTTCCCCATCAATGCTCCATGTTAAGATAAAGTTTAGGTTGCTTAACATCTCTTTTCCGAGTTGTATTGTTCCATCAAACCGACCAGGAAGAAGCACCAACATCCTCAGCTTACAGTACAAAAATACTCAAGCAGGAGTAAACATCTATAGGTGTAATTTTGCCCTACCTGACGTGGAAATGTACCGAATATTCAGTGCATTTGAAAACAACTGCGAAAAAAAATAGCAAGTTGTTTTCGGGTGGGACTCGAACCCACGATCTCCAGATCAATAGCCTGGAATCATACCTGTAGACCACCGAGCTTGCGCCTGATGGCCAGGGTTGAATTCAAGTCCAAGTAAGCAGCGGGTGTTGATAGTATTTGTTATTGTTGTGATGGAATAATAGACAATAACTGGATTTGCGTCAGGAGAAACATGTATAGGTGTAATTTTGGTATGGTAGGGAAACACGTCAGGTACTGTAGGTAATTTCACTATCACAACCTTCCACTAGGCTCTACAGACGTATGTTGCACATTATATGTCTTTCTTGACGCAGGGTTCCCGGAACGCCACCCTCAGCGGTGAGTGCGAAGCACAACTCAGGATCAAAAGTGGAAAGTGAAATTTGGATATGGTTTTTTAGTCGGATTTGCGAGAAAAACATCAGCTACCTGTATTTCTCGACTGAGACGTCAGTGGGAGCTGTAATTTGTATGGCAAGGAGATTGAGCAACCCTTCAGTCATATTAAGTGAATTTATGCCCAGAAACTTTGTAGTTATTAATATTTTGGTTATAATAGAAAATATTCATTTTTTGGTGACGTCACATTCACATTAGTTAGCATGCATACGTCATAAGCTCCATAACACAGCACCCCCTAGTTCCGTCACCTCTGGATCAAATGGTTTAATACTACTCTTAATTTCTACTTCAGTAGTACCCTTATCAGTTTTTGCCTGATTATGAGCCCAATCACACTTATTAGGCCGGCCTAGGGTTGGCCCAGGGCCGCCTTACAACAAATTTTCTGATCACAGTTATTATTTAAGTCGGCCCAGGGCTGACTTACAAGCGTTCACACTTCTCCTTCGGGCCGGGTCGATGAATTGCAGGACAGGAAGTTAGAGGCAATCGCATTACATGATGGTGGAACGGTAAATTCCAACCTAACAAACACATGGAATTCGCGCGAAACATGAACCATTCAATTATTGTCCAAATATCGGTTAGTTGCTGGTGGTGACTTTTAATGCGTAGTAGGCACAGTTCCTTTTAGTACACTGCAAACTTTTATTCACACAAACTGTACGTGGGTTACAATCAGCTAAACTCCAGGTTTCAGATGTTAGAGAACCCTTTTTGAGTGGAGTCAGCTCGGCTCTGTACTTTCTTCTGTGTACTCCTAACTACTAAATTGAATCTAATTACTGACTCAGTGATATGGGGGTGTTTGCCTATTATACTTTAGGTAATGGGGGTGTGTAAGTTTCTGATCGGATCATAGAGAAATTCTTTCTTTATGATATTTAGCGCAGCACGACTTTATTCTGTGCAAATCAGACTTGTGATTTCAAAAGTCCATACCTGTACTCTAGGCCTATGTAAAGACTGAAGGTTGCTGTCACTGCTTGGCGTCTATACACACAGATTGTGAATATAGTGGCATCGAGCATCTATTTGGCAATAATAATTACAGTATTTTACACTTGCTTTTTACAACCCGCTTCACTCATAACAACAACAAACGTTACCTTCACGAACGTCGACACAAAACGCATGTGACATTCACAGAAAGAATCATACGACTATACAGTGTTGTGATTTTAGAATATAAACTTTTGAAATTAATGTGTGCTATACAAAAAATGGGTTTTTTGGAGCTTGTAATAATTATTCTTACTGGAATTCAACTGTAGAAAAGAAAGTCACAGCATACGTCATCAGTCAAACTGCCCATGCAAAGCTTTGTATCACGTGGTATTTCCCGTTCTATTATTATGTTCACAATGTGGTGCGTGTTTTGCATGTTTATGCTTCGCACGGAGAGGCTGTGAGTAGTAATGATAGGTATGGAAACCTTATGTATAACAACTTTTATTCAAAAACTATAGTTCAACTGAATACAATTTACTCTACACTTTCCTTAACATTTTATTTCTCAATGGGCTTTTTTCGCGCAAGTCAGTTGTTGAATGTTGTGGTAGATAAGATGTCAAAATCGACCGCAATCAGTGCGAACTTGGGCCGGCTCAGGTCCGGCTTATGTTCAGATATGAAGTTGGGTTGGCCCAGGTTCCGCATTGCAAGTCCTGAGCCGACTCAAAAGTCGGACTAAATTTAGGTCTAAATTTAAAACTAATTGTTTTAAAATGACTATTTCTGCCAAATCATCTTTACTTTTATCTCCTGGTTTAGCCCACTTGGTAAATAAATCATTTAACTTTACATACACCTTTATAACTTTTTTAAAGCATAATTAAATCTAGATGAGGGGCTTGTTACTAGTAAATCGTGGTTACCAATATGTTCACAAAAAAAATTTAAAAATTTGACCCCGATGATCCCTATGTAACCCCTGATCCCAGACTGGGGTGTAAGACGTGTCACTGGTTCTTAATGATCAAATTTGATAAATTCCTTTCAATCGTTTGCCATTAGTAACATTTTGAACCTTTGACCTATGAACTTTGACCTATGAGGTTAAGAGTATTTTTTTCGTGTTTAGAAGGTCCTAAGGATCATTCCTGTTAAATTTGAGCTTAATTGGGCTATTTTGAAAATTTAACCCTGATGACCCCTACAGTATGTGACCTCTAATCCCAGACTGGGGTGTAGGAGGTTTTGCTGGTTCTTAATGACCAAATTTGATTGAGTTTGGTCCAATTGTTTGCCATTAGTAGCATTTTGAAATGTTACCAGATAGAACAAA